GAGAAACAACTCACTCTTTGATTCTAGCACTTATTCTACAATAAAACAATTGTAGATATTTGTAGTTAAAAAACACTACAAATTCTGTATACTTGATAGCTTTAAATTCTAAAACTTTCTTTATTTCCTATTTCGGAGCTTTAATTCTAAGCAATTTTGAGCCTCATTGCTTTATAATTGCTACTCTTGCTTTACTGCTTTATTTGAATTGAATTTTAATTCTCTATATTTTCTAGTATGATCTAGAATCTCTAGCATATTCTAGTTCTCTTTCTTTGTTCTCTTTTTTCTTGCATTCGTCGCAACTTATACAGCTTTGTTCTGTGTTCATCCGGTGTTGTTGACTGGTGGGGACACTGCGAACTTTTTAGAGTTTTTAGTTTTTCTTAATACCTAGCTTGTTTACTTTGCTATCTTCTTTAAGTTATTTTTTCCTTAACTAGTTGTCGCAGTTCACACGATTTTCGCCCGCTAAACTTTGTGTGCGTCTTGGGCCTTTGTGTCCGTGTTCATCCTTTGCTGTTGACAGGTTGAGTCTTAAAGACTTTCTAAGATGTCTAAGTTTCTAGGCTATCCTTGGGCAAAAACCATGTTGGTTAAAAACTGAAATCTTAAGTTAACAAATATAAATACTATTGAAGATTTCTATAATGAATCATCTTTTGAAATCGATAAAGAATTCCTAAGGAAGGACTTTAACTCCCTCAAAAATAAAGTAAAAAAAGAACGGTTTTTCCAAACATATGAAGAAGACTCTAGAACATCCATCAGAGCCTTATACTATGATTTCATGCGAACAAACAAGCAGAATATACCCTTTTTTCTATGGTATGAAGCCATATATTTAGAAGATCTAAAATACTCTCTTAAACATCTACCTATTGAAATAATGCTTTTGTTTTGAAAACAATATCCAATACATGGAAAATAGATAAAGATAAAGAAATAGAATCTTTACATCCACCCTTAGAACCAATAAATGTGGGAAAAAAAGATGTTAAAGCTGTCCCTATCACATCTTTAGAACCTTCTAGCTAGGTACCCTTGCAAAGGGATATCACCCTTGTAACTGAACAAAATAATTTTGCCAATATTCACCTTCAGACAATAAGTAAACAAACAGATAGAATTGAAGATATGATTCTCGACATAAGGAAACCTCTTACTCACCCGATGATTGTACCATCTTTTCCACCTCAGATTTTTACCAATACCAAATTAAAAAATAAAAAACCTTTTGATGAACAAATCCATGGTTTTAATGAAGAATCAACCAAGAGATTAAAAGATATAAAAAAGGAAAATCTCTTGCTATTAATGTCCTATCTGATCTTGAATCACAATTTGATGATATGACCAACTCTGATCATGATTTCGACAAACCCCTAACAATCCAGAGTATTAAAAAACATTCATATTCTTCCAATAATACAAAGAATTACTATAGGAGACCCACTCCTGCCGATATGCAATTTGCAGAATTTAATAGCCAAAAAAAATAAGTTTCGATGGTAACTCCCTAGTAGAATGGAACCTTGATGGTTATACTGAATACCAGATAATACATCTATTATAAGAAATGCTTATTTATGTCAATGCTTGTAGACAACAAGGAAATCCCGAAAAAGATATTACTAGTGGCCTATGTTCATCATTTTCTGGTCAATTACAGGGATGGTGGGATCGGTACCTTACTGATTCACAAAAACATAATATTTTAAATAGTTATAAAAAAACCAAATATGGAGAACCAATCCTTGATAAGACAGGACAAGTGATTAATGATGCTGTCTATACCCTACTTCTTGCTATATATCATCACTTTATAGGTTTTATCGATAGCCTGCAAGATAAAGTCAGAGAACAACTCATAAATTTTAGGTGTAAAACCCTTACGGACTTTAAATGATACAAAGATGAGTTTCTGTCAAAAATTTACCAACTACATGATTGTAATAATCCCATTTGAAAAGAAAAGTTTATTTCTGACCTTCCACCTTTATTTGCCGAAAAGGTTAGAAGTTAGAACATCTCTTAAAGAGCAATGTAATGGCATCATTCTCTATGATCAAATTCTCTTCGGAGAATTAATCCAAAAAGTCAACACTATTGGTTTAAAACTTTGCAACGATATTAAAATTAAGAATCAATTAAAAAATCAAAACCCTTTAGGGAAAAGAGAATTGGGAGATTTTTGTTACCAATTTGGTTTTCTAATGGAAAATCCTAGGATAAAAAATAGTCCTAAGAATTATCGTAAAACAAAATCTAATTATCAAAAAACACAAAATTCTAATAAAACTGAAAGAATACCAAGAAAACCTCCTAAAAGAAATTTTAGGAAAAATAGAAATGATACTAAAAAAACTCCTACATGTTATAAATGTAAACAAAAAGGACATTATGATAATAAATGTTTTCAAAAGGAAATGAAAAAGAAGATTAACGAGTTAATATTAAACTCCAATGCCTTTACTGAAGATGAAATCGAAAAACTTATTAATATTTTAAATCTTATTGATGATAATTCTTCCTCTAACGATGAGTGCAATAATCTTTGCACTTCTAAAAAGGAAAATAGTTCTGATGATTCATCCATAACATCTTATAATAGTTCTTCTGAATTAAATACCCTAGATGAACATGAACATTTCATTCTTGAGACCATTAATGCCATTACTAATCCTCAAGAAAAGGGGATACAGTTAAAGAAATATCTCGAGATGATAAAAAGGAAAAAAAGTGCCTCTTCTACTCTAACTTTTCCATCTAAAAAGACATCCATTGAAGACCTCAAAAAAGAACAAAAAGAAGTCAAAATTCAGCTTAAAAATCTTAAACAATAAATTTTTATCTAAAAGTCTCAACCGAATAATACAAAATGCTCTAATAATATTGATACCGTAGAAAAGTATATCAGGTAAAAATAGAAATGCGACATTATCCTCAAAATTTAGTCTAGCTTCACTGTCAAAGATACTGCTTTAATTGACACTGGAACAGACCTAAATTGTATTAGAGAAGGCATTGTTCTCTCTCAATACTTTGAAAAAACAACTCATAGTCTTTCTTCCGCGGGTGGACATAGTCTTAGTATTCAATATAAACTTTCTGATGTTCATGTTTGCAATCAAGGTTTATGTTTAAAAACATCCTTTATCTTGGTCAAAGACTTACAACAAAACATTATCCTTAGCATTCCTTTCATTAATCTTCTCAAACCCTTTTCTGTTGATGACAATGATCTTCATTTTTATACTAATGGGTTTAAATATACTATCAAGTTTAACAATGCTCCTGAAGAAGCTTATCTTAATTATTTAGTTTCATCTTTATCTCATAAAGAAAAATTCCTTCAAGACATTTCTGATGAGATTAAATTAGAAAAGATAGAAAAACAAATTAATGAAGAAAAATTTGCTGAAAGGATAAAATTATTCCATGAAAAACTTGAAAAAGAAGTTTGTTCGGAGATTCCTCGTGCTTTTTGGTTCAGAAAAAAACATGTTGTTAACCTCCCATATGAAAAAGATTTTTCTGAAAATAAAATCCCTACCAAAGCTCGCCCAATACAAACGAGTCAGAGACTTTTAGAAATATGTAAGCAAGAGATTTCTGATCTTCAAAAGAAAAACTTGATCAGACCCAGCTCTTCTCATTGGAGTTGCGCAGCTTTTTATGTTGAGAATACTGCGAAACTTGAAAGAGGGGTTCCTAGATTGGTTATCAATTACAAACCTCTTAACAAAGTTTTACAATGGATTCGATATCCTATACCAAATAAATAAGATCTAATGAAGAGATTACAAGGAACAAGATTATTTTCAAAATTTGACATGAAATCAGAATTTTAGCAAGTTCAAATTGCTAAAGAGGATCGCTATAAAATAGCTTTTACTGTCCCTTTCGGTCATTATGAGTGGAATGTTATGCCTTTTGGCTTAAAAAATGCTCCTTCTGAATTTCAGAAAATAATGAACGAAATATTTAATCCCTACACTTCATTTACCATTGTTTACATTGATGATGTCCTTGTTTTTTCTAAAGATATCGACCAACATTAGAAACATCTACATATCTTCTTTAAAATCATTAAAGATAATGGTTTAGTTTTCTCCGCTAGAAAAATAAAACTCTTCCAAACTAAAATACAATTTTTAGGATATTCTATTAATAAAGGTACTATTTCTCCTATCCACAGAGTCATTGCCTTTGCTGATAAATTTCCTGATGAGATAAAAGACACTAAGCAATTACAAAGATTTCTAGGATGTTTAAATTACGTTTCTGATTTCTATAAAGACCTTGTCTATGATAGAAAAATTTTTAGTGATCGATTAAAAAAGGATTGTACCGAATGGACAGAAAGACATTCCGAAGCGGTCAAAAGGATAAAAACTAAAGTAAAAACATTGCCTTATTTATCTCTTCCAGATCCTACAGCCTTTAAAATCGTTGAAACAGATGCATCTGATTTTGGATACGGGGGAATACTTAAGCAAAAAGTTAACAATAAAGATGTTCTAGTCGCCTTTACTTCTGGTGATTGGAATGACACTCGAAAAAATTATTCAACAATTAAAAAGGAAATGCTTGCTATTGTTCTTTCTATCAATAAATTTCAAAGTGATTTATTAAATCAAAAATTCTTAGAATCGACTGCATGTCTGCCAAATACGTTATTAATAAAGATGTTCAAAATTTAGCATCTAAACAAATATTTGCAAGATGGCAAGCTATCCTTACTGTGTTTGATTTCGATATAGAATTTATTAAAGGTGATAATAATAATTTGCCTGATTTCCTCTCCAGAGAATTCCTACAAGGATATGGCCCTGTCAAGATATCATCACCAAAAGACTCTCTCACATGAAAAAGAGAGAACTTTTTCTACTCCCTTAACACAAGACAATAAAGGAACATATTCTCAATTTTATCAGAAAACATTGGATAAACTTGTCATCATTGAAACGTCTGATCAAACTCTTTTACCGATTGAAATGGCAGCAAAGTTTCTTCCCAAAGAATATTACTATGTTCCGACAATGTTTGATAAAACTACCCTCTACTATGAGAAAATTCTTAAAGAAACAGAAAGTGCATTTGCTCATCATAGATACCGAGGTAAAGAATACAGTTACTCCCGGCTAAGAATATATCATATTATTCCATTAAATGAATGGAACTCATATGGAAATCTCAATGTTCCGCGAAAGTTTAAAGAAAAAACTCAAATTAGTCTCCAACAATATAATTATTAGGACTATCAAGCTGCTTGGGAACATATCCTGTATATTCAAAATCATCTGGCAAAGCATTCATGATGGATACGTTTTATGAATCAAATGTGTCTACCAAATTGGTTTATTGAAACCTTTTGGGCTAAATTTGGAGCCATGAATCAAATGTGTCTACCAAATTGGTTTATTGAAACCTTTTGGGCTAAATTTGGAGCCATCAAAGAAATTATGCCAAATCTACCAAATTGGTTTATTGAAACCTTTTGGGCTAAATTTGGAGCCATCAAAGAAATTATGCCAAAAGAGGTCCTTAAAAAACAAGGAAAAAATATATCTCCACAAGATATGCTTCAAATATCTATGGAATTTGGTCTCCCCTGGATTATGCAATAGCATTGGGATTGTGTTAACGGCACACCATCTTATTTCGCAAGAAGTATTTCTGTAAAATGGTATGATCGATGAAATATTGCAAACTATCTTAATGGAAGAAAATGCTCTTTGCTCCCAGACTATAGTCCAGAATATGACATAAAATCAAATCCTAGAAGATCTGATACGAAGACTATACAAGAAAGCCTTTACGATAAATTTGCGCTACAATATCCGAATGCAAGTGAAGAAAAACTAAAATCATTAACTTATGATGAAATGCTAATAATACTAGCACCAATGGATACGTCCTCTACTTCAGAACCTGCTGAGCCATCTGAGCCTGTTAAACTAAAAGAACCTGTGATGGAAGATACTCTTATGGATAGCGAAGACTGTTTTGATAATGGCGACGATTGCTATGGTATTGATCTGTAATATGACATGAAAAAATTCATATTCCATTAATATATGGTAATTACCGATTAAATATCAACGATTTGAACACTAAGTCGATCAATCATTATCTTTTTCCAAAGTTTAAAAAATAACTAACTTTTACATAAATTCCATTCACAGCTAAAAGTAGCAAACTACAGATGAAATAACAGCTTATATGTCTACATCTAGTCTGCTTTGGATGCTGAAGGATGCTATAATTTTCGTCAAAAAGGCTAGGCTACTCTACATCTCTTAGGTTTTGACAAAATTAAAGCCGATGGGACCCCCCAAGCTTTAATGGATAGGAGAGAAATCTTTTGCATAGTTCCTAAAAAAGTCTATAAAAGAAGAAGGAGTTGATGCGTTCAAGGGGAAGCGTTTTGGAAAGTGAAGTCTGATCCTCTTTAGAGAAATCCCTCCTGTTTCCCTTTTTTAAGTTTTCAGTTTTAGTTTAAGTTTGAGTGAGGTTTGTTTTTAAGTTTTTTTTTTTAGTGTTTGTAAGATAAGTGTGCTCTACTACTACTAGCTCCAGCGGAACACCAAGCCTTCGGTTTGTAAGTGTTTAAGTTTATTTTCTTTCAAGTATGTAAGCGTCTTATGTAAATACTATCTAGTTTGCTTCCGCCTCTGTTAATATTCATTACTGTTCACGTCGTTACTGTTCATTTTTACTATTTATTACTATATTTTCTTCTTTTATTTTTGATATACATGTGAACGAAGAAGAAGATATAGCTATAAACAATATGATACGATAGAGCTAGCTCGTGGGGAATACTGTGTAGACGGAGGAGTGGATATATCTATTGTTTATAGTATGATCTAGAACCTTTAGCTTTTTTAGTTCTTTCTTTGTTCTCCTTTTTCTTGCCTTCGTCGCAACTTACATAGTTTTGTTCTGTGTTCATCCGGTGTTGTTGACTGGTGGGGACACTGCGAACTTTTTAGAGTTTCCATTTATGCTTAATATCTAGCTTGTTTACTTTGTTACCTGCTTTAAGTCTTTATATCCTTAACTAGTTGTCGTAGTTCACACGGTTTTTGCCCGCTAAGCTTTGTTTGCGTCTAGGGCTTTCTTCTGTCTGTGTTCATCCCTTGCTGTTGACAAGTTGAGTCGTAAAGTCTTTCTAAAGATGCCTTAATTTCTAAGCTATCTCTCTTGATAAGAAAAATGCCTATGTTAGAACTATGTCGGTTAAAAACTCAGAATCCTTAGATTACGAAAATATTGATCAAACCATTCAAAATTGGAAAATGCCTAAAGTTGGTACTAATAGTAATGATATCTATTGTAAAGAAGGTTTTAAACTAAAAACATCATATCATGTTAAAACCATTGAAAAAACAAAAACTGTAACCTCTCACAGAGAAATTATAATTACTTAGTGATAACGATATCTGAAGAATCACTGAAGATCTTACTCTTAAATTCCTACATCTTGGCCTAGTTCAAGTGTCTATTAGACCCCTTACCAGAAATGGCATTAACACCTCTGTTCTTGTTTGCTTACGAGACGGAAGATTCTCTGTTTTTACACTCTTTAATTGGTCTAATTGAGTCAAGTTTGAGGAATGGTCCTATATTCTTCAATGCCTTTCCAAACTTCTCAGTCTTTTTATCAGACCCTGGCATCCTCAAAGTGTTAACTTTAAACCTTCAGACCTCTGGCTTTAATATGGATATCAATTCTGAGAATATAGCTTTAACCTATAGGATCTGCTATAAAGTCATGAATACGCTCACACCTTTAGCTAAGGTTAATCCTGAAAAAGAAGCAACTACTTTATTTCTTACACATGCTAAAAATAATCTAGTTGTACCACGAACTTTAAAATGGAATGAAATTCAACTTCCTTCAGTTTGGAAATTAAGTCAAGTCATTGAACCCTTACCCCCTGAAAATTCTAATCTTCAAAAAATTACCTTCAGTTTGGAAATTAAGTCAAGTCATTGAACCCTTACCCCCTGAAAATTCTAATCTTCAAAAAATTATTGAACATCCTAATGGTGATGTCGAGGTTAACTTTTCTTCGTTTAGAAAAATTACTCTTGAAACTAATGACGAACGACGTGCCTCAGTTTCCTCTATTCCAACCCGAAAAAAAAGACTTCCTTAAAAACAAAAAACCAATAGGAATTAAATATAACATGGAACCAACTGCCATTTATGATGATTCCGATTCATCAAGACTAAGCATTAATGTTATTGAAAACTTTGATAATACACCCTCTTTTGAGATTGATAAAGAATCTCTAAGAAACGAATTTAATTCCCCTAAAAACCAACACAAAAAGGAATGGTTTTTTAAAACTTATGAAAAGGACTTTAGGTCATCTATTCGAGCCCTATATTATGATTGTATGCGAACTATTAGAAAAAATATACTTTTTTTTCTTATGGTATGAGTTTATTTACATTGAAGATCAAAAGAATTCTCTTAAACATTTACCTACTAAAAACCAGGTCTATATGCTAAAAAGGATCTCAAACACATGGAAGACAGAAAAAGATAAAGAAGTCGAATCATTACATCCTCCTCTTGAACCAATAAAATTCGGTAAAGGAAAAGAAGAAGTCAAAGCTACTCCTATAAAAACTCTCGAGTCAAATTCCAACACAACTAAACAAGAACATCTCTCTCTGGTTATTGAACAAAATAATTTTACTAACATTCATCTTCAAACAATAGGTAAACAAACTGATAGGATTGAAAACATGCTTCTTGACATGAAAAAACCTATCATCAACCAGATATCCATGCCACCTTTTGCCCCTCAGACTTTCACTGAGAATATCAAATTAGGAAATAATAAACCTTTTAAATTAAGTGAGAAAATGAGTAATCTTACTGAAGAATTAACTAAGAGATTAAAAGACCTGTCTTTAAATAAATCTCCTGCTATTAATGTCTTGTCTGAATATGAAACTCACCTAGATAATACAATTAACTATCTAATTGATTATAATGAAACCATCCAAAACATTAGAAAGCAAACCTAACCTTCTAGCTCCAAAAATTACTATAGAAGACCAACTCCAGCTGATATGCAATTCAAAGAAATAACTGATAATCATAAGACAAATTTTGATGGGAATTCTCTTGTTGAGTGGAATCTTGATGGATATACTGAATACCAAATTATACATCTATTACAAGAAATGCTTATTTATGCTAATGCCTGTAGACAGCATGGCAATACTGAAAAAGACATTGCAAGCGGAATATGTTCTTCCTTTTCTGGTCAATTGCAAGGTTGGTGGGATCACTATCTTACCCCAACAGATAAAAATAACATTCTAAATAATTATAAACAAAACCAATTAGGAGAACCAATTCGCGATGCAAATGGACATTATATTAGTGATGTTATTTACACCTTACTCCTTTCAATTTACCATCACTTCAATGGCTTAGCTAATAGCCTTCAAGATAAAGTTAGAGAATAACTCATGAATTTTAGGTGTAAGACCCTTACAGACTTTAGATGGTACAAAGACGTCTTCCTTTCCAAGGTCTACCAATTACACGATTGTAACAACCCTATTTGAAAAGAAAAGTTCATTTTAGGCCTTCCACCCTTATTTGCTGAAAGAACAAGAGAATCCATTAAAGAACAAAGTAATGGAAGTATAACTTATGGTCAAATTCCTTTTGGAGAATTAATTCAGAGGGTAAATACCATTGGCCTAAAACTTTGTAATGATGTTAAAATTAACAATCAATTAAGAAATCAAAACCTGTTAGGAAAAAGGGAATTAGGAGATTTTTGTTATCAATTTGGTTTTCAAATGAAAAATCCAAGAATAAGAAATTATAAAAAACGACAGAAACCAAGAAATAATTGGAAAGAAGAAAAAACACCTCCTAAAAGAAAGACTAGAACAAATAGTACTAAAAACCCCACTTGTTATAAATGCAAAAAGAAAGGACATTATGCTAATAAATGTCCACAAAAAGATCTAAAAACTAAGGTCAATGAACTTTTATTAGACTCCAAAGATTTTACTACAGAAGAAATTGATCAGTTTATTAATAATTTGAGACTTAGTGATGATGATTCCTCAGATCGTGAAGATTTATGCAATAATCTTTGCATTTGTTTCAACTTTTCTGAAAGTTCTTCAGAAACTTCCCAGATAAACACTTTAAACGAACACGAACAATTTATTCTTGATACTATAGATGCTATTACTGATCCACAAGAAAAAAAGAACACAATTAACTAAGTACCTTGAAATGACCAAAAATAAGGGAAAAATTTAACAAATGTTCTTGAAGAAAAGAAAGAAAACGAATATTATACTTTCTCTGAAATTATAAACAAAATTCAAAGTGAGAAAAAATTTGAGAATGAAGTAAATCTTGAAGAACTTCAGAAGGAACAGGGAAATTTAAAAATAGAACTTCTTGAATTAAAACAAAAAATAAACATTTTAGAAACTTACTTAGAAAATAAAACCATAGATGAATCTGATGATTTCAAAAATAGAAAAAACTTTGAACAAGATTCTGATGACAATGAATTTATAAATTCTATAGAAAAATATGTTGAGAAAAAATGGAGATGTAATATCATGCTTAACATTATGAACGAATACTCTGTCCAACACACAGCTCTAATTGACACTGGAGCAGATGTAAATTGCATTAGAGAAGATCTTATTCCTCTGAGATTTTATGAGAAAACATCTCACCTAGTCAGTGCTGCACATGAACAATCTCTCCAAGCCCGATATAAACTCACTGATGTTTATATTTGCAATGGTGGTCAAAAAATTAAAATCTCTTTCGTCCTATTCAAAGATCTCAAGCAAGGTATTATTTTAGGAACTCCTTTTATTGTAGATGCTCATGGTATACATACACAGGCTAGAGACCCCAACATCTCTTTTTGGTTTAATAAAGAACCAGAAGATATGTTAGTTAACGACCTATTTTCTTCATTACAATTCAAAGAAAAATTCATAAATGTTCTTTCTAATACTGAAGA